GTCACATGATAACCAGCAGGGCCAACCCAAAGAAAGCAGCTTTCTGTACCCGGTTACTTTGTCATGCAATGCCATGCACTGCTCAAGCAATAGTAATAATAAATAATAGTAATAATTAAACTAACCTTAATTATAACTTCATTAAACAGATCAATATTCCTCAAACTGTGTGGGACATTTTTCTGAAAGGACCATCAACTAATGTCCTTGATTTTTGACATAGCCTGTCCATGGATGCCTCAAGGCAGAAAATAGACCAACTACGCACTGGCTATGGGTATATAGCACAGTGCTTATCACAGTACCTGGCACCTAGTAGATGCTTAATAAATATTAATTGATTGATATAATAATCTGGTAAATAAATGTTAAATAAATAATCTGGTAAATAAATCTGGTGATATAAATATTAATTGATTGATATAATCTGGTAAAAACAAGCAACCGTATATATGATTCTCCTCACAAATGACATTAGAATAGATTCAAGATTGAGAACTAAAGAGCAACAGAGAGAATTGAACTGACTTTGGAGTCTGGAAGACCTGGGTTTAAATCTTGTCTCTGACCTATGATATCTATTTGACCTTGAGCAAATTACTTCTCGGTAGCCCAGGCCATTCTCTAAGACTCTAAGTTGTACAACAGCTGCTCATCTATATTCGTGGAAGGAATTTCCTCAGGAAGAGTCCCTTATGCCTCCAGCAGATATATAGAAATGTACATATATGCGTGGCTATTATTTCAAAAGTTATCTTGTACTGAACTAGTAGGTGCTGCTGAATAACAATGGATTGGGAGAAGTTAATTTGTATCAGCATCTCCTCTGTTTTATGTGTTGCCATGGCCAATAGGGGACAGCCAACTGTGGAAAATTTATCAATTAATCAATCAATAAGTAATCATTAAATGCCTAACATGCATTAGCCATTGTGCTAAGTGATGAGGTACAAATAAAAAGAATGGGATTATCTCTTCTCTCAAAGAGTTTTTAGCCTATTGAGCTGTTTTTGTCTCTTTTGGAGAGGACAAAGAGAAGATTGACATGGAAGAAGAAGGCGTGCACAGGCTGTGATCTATACCTACTCGTTGACTCATGAATGCCTGCTACAACATCACTGATGAATGGCAATATAAACCTCTGCCCAATAGCCTTCAGCCACAAGGAACTCACTCCTTTCTAAGGTAGCCTATTCCAATTTTTGTGGTATCTCCAATTGATCTGGTAGTAAGCTAAAATCTATCTTCTTGTAACTTTATGATCACAGGAGATGGAAGAATTTTGGAGGTCAACTGATCTAATATGATTAATTTCATAAATGAGAAAAGTGAGTCCCAGAAATGTTACCTGATTTGTCTAAGGTCACATTGGCAGAGCTAGAATACAAACTTCTCTTCAAATCCCATGCTCTTTCCAGTGCTTAGCTTAGTTCCTGGAATGTAGTACAATTAGATTCCTGTTAGTTCAAATCCTCTGAAGTGGTTGCATGTATTTGAATCCCCACTATCTGAAGTAATAATATGGTCATTGGCTCCAGTCCAATGGAAATATGCAATGTGAATTCAGAGGATTCACTATTTACACTAATCAAGACCTAGCTGTAAACTTGGAAATATGCAATGTGAATGCAGAGAATTTATTATTCATGATAGGTGCTTAATAAATGCTGGTTGACTGACTTTTCTTAACATCATACTATCTTTCCTTTGACCCTAGCACTCTTTTCAGGGGCCAAGTAGAATATCTAGTCCCTATTCTACATGAGAACCCACTAAATAGTTGAAGATGGTGATCATGGCTTAAAGTTTTATCTTCTTTTTTAATGCTGAATATATTCATCTCTTCCAAATGGTCCTTTTCTTATAACTGACACTTAACTTATGGGACATCTGGATATATATAAATGAAAGCAATAACAAGTTTCATAATTGGAATTTCAGGTCAGCTTTCAGTGACTATAGCAATCTGCATTGCAGGAATTTTATTTCAACTTGTCAGGCTGTCATGTGGCATTATCAATATGTATTTCTTAAAGGTACAACTCTAGTTTATTTTAGCAGGGTTATGAAACAAATGATGAAAAGTGCCAACATAGTGTTTTGCTTTGATCAACGAAATCAACACTTCTATGCTGATGGCTCCTAAACCTATACCTCTACTATAACCTCTCTCAAGACTTTCAGGCCTGTAATTCTAACTGCCAGTTGGTTAGTTTCACTTGAATTTCCTTTTTCCACCTCAGACTCCACACGTCTAAAACATCAAGTTGCTATGTTGCACTGTAACACCCTACCCTGAGACTTCCTTATTTAGGTTATTGGCACTACCCTCTTTCCAGGTGCCTGGGTTTGTAACTTTGAAATCTCCTTTGACTTTCCTTTTTTTCCTATAGTCTACATTTAGTCAGGTACTGACAGTGATTTTTACTTCCACAAATTTCTTGTGCTTGGCTCCTTGTCTCTTTTCTTATTATAACCAACAATACCTGGACTCTTGACCCCATTGGGGTCCTTATCTCTTGTAAACTACTGTTGGTTGCCTCTAGTTTATCCCATTTCAATTCATCCTCTATATTGTTGCTTGAGTAATCTTCCTAATGCAAGCTTATGGGTGTGTCTCTCTTCTATTCAAAAAACTTAGGTGACTCTCTATTGCTCTCCAAATCAAGTTTAAATTTCTGAGTCTGGTATTCAAGGCCTTCCACTCTTCTCTCATAGAACTCTTGTTTTGTGTTCTGTTCTTTTGTTCTTTTCTTGGCCTTTCCTATTTCCAAGCTTTTATATATATGTTGCCCTTACTTGAAATAGACTTCATCCCATATCAATTTGTTGGAATCTTCCCCATCCCTGGTGTTCTCTTTCTTTTTAAATCTTTGTTTCTTTTTTTATTTTAAGCATCTTTTATTAATCTGTTCTTCCTACTGAGAAAATGTTTTTGAAAATGCACACTACAAAAAAATAAATCCCTCAATACATATCTACATAGTCTAGTAAAACAAATACCCACATTAGCCATGTCCTCAAAATCTATGTCTCCTTGTTATCATCTCTTGTCAGGAGGTGTGTGGTTGCCACTTTCTTTCAAGGCCCAGTTTAGGTGCCACCCCCTTAAGGAAGTCTTCCTGGATCTTGCAGTTGAAAGTGATCTCTCCCTCCTCAAACTTCTCAGATTCTTTTGTATAACTCTCCTTTGCCCCTACTGTATTCTAGCTGGTATCATTAATTTGTGTATGAATAGTGAAAAAGACATAGAAATGTGTCTATGTTTATCTATTTAACGAGTTTTAGGTATATTTTACAGTTTGATTTGGGGCACCAAGAAGATAGATATTTATTTCTTTACTTCAAGGATCCACTATTTCATCAGTGTGTGACAGGGCCTTGAGGCCACTTCTGGCCTTCTAGGTCTTTGGGTGTGGCCTTTTGACTGAGTCCAAATTTTACAGAACAAATCCTTTTATTAAGGGGATTTGTTCTGTGAAGTTTGGATTCAGTCAAAGGACCACATTTGAGGCCGTGAGGCCACAAGTTCCCTCTACCCCTGGTGTGGGAACATCTGCTAATGCCAATCACATACTCTTCATGCCTCTGTAAATAGTCTTCATGAACTGTTTGGACCCAAAAAAGTCAGCACCTGGCATCCAACTCTCCAGTGGTAAGTTTCTTCACAAGTGGATAGCCTGGTTCTTTAATAACAGATATATAGTATGCCATCAGTCTCACCAAAGCTTGTGCTCCTCTGATAGAGACTTAAGAGAATCCCAGGCCATCTCCACATTGTGGCAAGACATTGGAGCAGGACTTTTGTGGAGGCCCTAGTGATCTAAAGAACATTAATAGCTCATTATGCTTGGGGCAGTCCTTGGTGGACTATTTCTAATGAACACTATGGCCACACATGCTCATACGTGCTAAAGTTGGAAGAGACAGCTCTTCAGACATGGTTTAGACTAAATGATGTTTAATATTCCTTCCAATTGGAAGAATTTGTGATTCTGGGATCTTAAAAATCATTCAGTCCTATTTCTTCATTTTAGTTGAGGAAACTGAATCTTAGAGAAGTTAAGTGACTTGCCCAATGTTATACAGATAGTAAAGATGTGGAGTCAAGATTTGAACCTAGATTCTCTGACTTCAGAGCCAGTGCTTCTTCATTATGTCCTAATGAAATCAGGAAGACCTGAATTTGAATCCTGTCTCAGATACTACCTGTGTGTCCCTGGACTTCACCTCTCTCAGCCTCAGTTTCCTCAACTATAAAATGGGGATGAAAATAGCACCTACTTCAAAGAGTTATTGTGAGTATCCAATGAGATAACACATATAAAGTTCTTTACAAACCTTAAAGGGCTATACAAATATTAATTATTGCTGTTATGTCTACTTTTATGAGATGAGAAGAAAGCTGAGCTACAAGTTCCTTCATTGGGAAAGGGGGAAAGGAAGGGAAAAGCATACACATTTCTATAGTATGTGCCAGGCACTGTGCTAAGTGCTTTACAAATATTATCTCATTTGATTTTCACAATACCCTTGGCACTTAAGTAGTATTACTATCCCCATTTTACAGTTGAGGAAACAAACAGGGGTTAAGGGACTTGCCCAGCATCACACAGCTGGTAAGACTCTGAGGCCATATTTGAACTCAGGCCTTCCTGATTCTAGGCCCAGTGCTCTCTCGACTGGGCCACCTAGCAGCCTCATTGAGATGTTGATTCTACTGGTTTGTAAATTTGCTGTGCTGCTTTATCTGTTTCTTTGTTTTGTTTTGTTCCCCCCCCCCATTCAAATATGGGAGTTGAGTCAACATGATGGAACTATCAAGTGGGCCAATGAGTTAAAAATGATAATGATGTGAAGATTCTTGTATGAGTCAGGGCCTCTCCATCCAACACCAGCATTTTCTTTGTGAAAATGTTACAAAAAAATGTGCTTACCGCCAATGTGTATGCAGCAGTCTTTAGGAAATAAATAACACTCTTAAGGTAGCTGACAGGAGAGAAGATAAAAGTCAATAAAAAGAGAATTATTTATTAAAAAGATCTAATGTTACAAGAACAGTACACAGAACTATAATTTGACTGTGCCTTCCACGTAGTATATATCATTATATATAGTATATATATACAGATTGTATACATATCTAACAGATTGAAATGGGGCTCTATGGTACCTTCATTTTGGTATGCAAACACTTGCTTTCACAGAGTTTCAATTGACTATGAGTAGTTTCTCAATAGCTCATATGACATTATACAAAAATACAGTCTCTTAGTGATATAAGACTGCACTGTTACAATCTCATCCAGGAAAAAGCTCTGTACTGAAGCTGGAAAATAATGTAGGGAGATAGGGACCATTGCCCTGTTTTCTACAAAGTAATAAATGTAACACATAAGTACATAAACATTTAAAACATGTTTTATTCATAGGTTGTAAATGCAAAATACATATTCTGTTTGTGTTGAATAAAAACATCTAATCACTGCTCCCTGCAAGAATAGGACATCATCAGAAACTTAGTTCCATGTGTAAATAGGATCTATCGCATATGCCCCCTATACTGGATTAATAGATGCAAAACTCAATTTGATTTTTGTGAGCATGATGTTTTATTAGAATGTTCATTGGTAACAACTTGACCATGAATGTGTCTGATTGGCCAAGACTGGCAAAGAATTCTATGGGAAATAAAGAAAAAGAGTTCAATTCAGCTGATACTAAGGTAAAGATCATTGCCCTCTTTTTAATCAGTATGTTCTTGCTATGTGCATGGTGTGTATGTATGTATGTGTTTTTTAAACCTAATCTGCTCTGGCAAGCTACCTCATAAAGTGGAAAAGTGCCTGGTCTGCCAGCCAAGAAGAGGGTGACTTTTTTTTTTCATTTGCTTCATCAAGTAATAGCATTGAAACTGATTGTTATTACATGCATCTCCCTGCCCTGTCCTCCTTTCCACCTTAGATGAACATGAACCTTTCCAGAAAGAGGCTTCCAAGGAAGCCTTTTTGCCCTCTGATCATAGAGATTCTCAAAATGAAGCTTGCCATCTGTCTTTCATCCACAACAATCTGGTGATTGACATGTATACTTTTTAAAATGACTATTTTCTTGGTTGGGATTGGCTTGAAAACAGCCTCCAAAAAACCAAACCAAATCAAACCAAAAACATGACAATGAGTATCTGACACAAAGAAGTTAGGATGTTTTTTTTTTTCTGGGGGAAAAATATGCAGGAGGTTTGAGAACACAAATCTTCTTCCTGTCCCCACTCCCTTTTCTGATTCCTTATTGATCTCTTATCTGGTGTTGCTCAGTAGAGAATGAACCCTTTTCTGCTTCCTTGTTATTTATTTAAAGATGTAAAATGAATGGGTATGCTTATACTAGGCAAAAATACCCCAAACTATCATCTTGGAGGCCTCAAATCCCCAGCAGCTATAAAGCAGTAGCTGGCCCAGGCCTGCTCTGGCACATTTTTTGAGACTCACTTTCTCTTCTTGCTGTGGATGTAATCTCAACCCAGAGAAGTCTCCATGTGAGTGGGATCAATCCACATACCCCCTAACAAAATGAATATTTTCATCCAGTCTTCCTTTGGATGAAGTGGCTGTGTGAGGTCCCTTCTAACTCTCAAATTCGATGATTCTGTGGTCCTATTGTTTACTAAAGAACATTTTTCATTATGTCTGAAATGACAAAAAAGATGAGTTTTCAAATGTGAATTGCTACCCCCTTCATCATCAGAGAATAAAAAACATGTGGTTGATGGAAGTTGTTGAATTTCCTGATGATGGCAATGGTCAGTGTTTGGAAAAAAAGTGGGTGAACTCTAAGAAACAACCCAAGAAATCTTGCTGCTTTGAATCATTGGTAGGCCTTGGCAAGTGCTATGTAATGCACAGGTTTATCCAAAAATAATCTACATAGAGTTGGTATATTCAAATTATTTTCTTCCATATAAAACATATACCTATCTATATTTGCATGATAAATTGTAGTTGTCCAGAAAAGGATTGTCATGGGAAAAACACAAATAAACAAAAAAAAGGGGACGTAATTAGATGGAAAAAAGGTTATGCTGTATTCATTTAATTTTTTTCCAGTTACAATCTATAGTACATATCAGTGTCCATAGATGTTAGCATGTGCATTTTCTGTGAAGTTAAACTATATTTTTGCTATTAAAAATAAACTTTGACTTCATTTTCAGTTAAATAATACAGTACTTGATGAAAGACAATAGCACTTCAAAACAATCCCTTCTTAGTCCCCCTTCAGTTTACCTTGTACTAATGTCAAGGCCCAACTTTGCTCTAAGAGCTTGCTCTGGGAATGCTTGCAGAACAGCAGATTGACAAATTTGACCATTTCAATATGCAATCATATACTTTGCCAGAAAATATTTCCTGTACTTATCCTGTAATGGGCAACATAACTGAACTATTTTTCTTCTCTCCCACTGGTTTGTCGATTGCAACAGCCAGCCTTAGGGAAAATGAGAAACACTAGATTCAGAGTCTTTACCATTTACCCTCACTTTTTTATTTTTTTTTCCTTTCTTTTTTTTTTTTTTTGAAACAGATGTACTAGACACCACTGCTTTAACAAACAAATGGCACATACTCAGGGTCATCAGATACAAAATCAAATTCAAACCTATTAAAAAAGTAAAGAATACATTTGACAGAAATTACCTTTGCTTACAAAAGTTCATTACATACAATCTGCATATTTTTATTGGGCCAAGAACTGTCCTCCCCTATTTGAGGACATTTACAAAAACCGAAGAGAAAACCTGATGAATAAGTAACATTTCCCCCCCAACACTCCTCTAAGTGCACCATGGGTAGTTCTAGGGTTTTTAAGCTTAGCTCCATCCACAGATGTGATCAAGCCAAAGCAAAGCAAAAACGTTAAGTCTGCAATCTTCACCACGAGGTTGAAGGGACTATCAGTGCCAGGAGCAATGTTACTGACGATGAAGAAGTTGAGAAGGTGTGGAGAGAAGATTGAGCACTTGTGATTTTCCCACCTGTAGAAACAAAGAGGCATCACTAGAATAGGTTATGGCTATGTTTATGGGAGCAAAGGGTATTTAATTCAGTAATGTACACAGAGCATGTACACAGAGAAGCAGATATAGTATGGTATGAACAGAGAGAGAGCACTCAGTCATTATTAGGAATCAGGAAAAGCTTCCCATAGGAGCTGGCACCTTGAGCTAAGCCTTGAAAGAAGATGCTAAGCATTCTAAGGGGTGAAAGTGAGGAGGTAAGGGATCCTGGGCACGGGAGCTTGCCTTTATAAAGAAGCAAAGATGGCTGGTAATTTAGAGTAAGAGGGCTTTCACTTAAAAAAAAAGTCCTAAATGTTTCACATGATTGCACATGCATTGCCTATATCAAATTGCTTACCAGGTCAAGGAGGTGGAGAAAGGAGGAAGGGAGAACAGCATTTAGAACTCAAAACTTAAAAAAAAACACAACAGATGTTAAAAATTGTTTTTACGTGTAATTGGGGAAAAACAAAATATTATTAAAAAATCCCCACTTCAGTTAAAAATGTAATTATGGAAATTCAGTGCAGGAGTTAATACAAAAAAAGGGTTGTCAAAATAACCAGATAATTTATACAGTTCAATCAAGCAATCATTTTGTGGGTGAATGGTTATATAGATGCTTGAAGGAATGGATTTTCCAATGCAATCAGTTTAAAGGCTGGTTCTCCAAATCAAATTCTGCAAAAAGGAATCCACTCCTTCAGGAATTTTTTTTTTAAACAAGATCTCAACTGCATGGGGCTATACTATAGGTTGAACTGACAAATCAATTCAAAATATTTAAATTGTTAACCTGAACAGATATGACCTATCTCATCTCCATTCCACTGTGAGTCACTAAATTCAGGAATGTTTTTCAATCTACATGCCTTTTGGGGTAGTCATTGGCCCTAGTTAAAAGCACTCTAAGCCTTCAGATCTGATTTATAGACTCTTGCTCTAACAACAATTAAGCTAACAGACCAGCTCAAATTTAGAGGATTTGTTAAGACTTTAATTGTACTCACATAGTTTTGATTTATTTTTAGATGTAATCCTTCCCTTTATTTAACTTGAGCAAGAAACAGGAAATCTGGGAAGCTTCTTTTGTTTGAAATATCATTAATCAAAATAGCAAAGAAATGTTGTATTTGTTTCAATTGGTACAAAGATAGTGATGTTGTGAAGAGTTTGGCTAACTGTGTGAAAAGAAAATCAAGAAAGCAAAGCCTCATAGAAGTATTTTTTTTCTTTTTTTCACAGGCTTAATAAATAAGAAATGTGAAATAGTCACCCCCTATATTTGGCACTGGTGAGGCCCTTAATAGATCATTTCATACGATAATTAAAAAAATATATTTCTCTCTATTTCTCTGAGTTTCAAGAAGTGAGTGTGCTTATACATACACACATATACCTACACATATATTTATAACATACATATATTTATATACACACATCCTTATATAGATATGGGTATATACACATACATGCATAAATATACATGCATATACATACATTATATGTATATTCACACAATTTATATAGACATGTGTGTATACACACGTCTATGTATTTGTGTATATATATCTGTGTATATAACCCCTCCCCCTCTTATATGTGTATGTGAATAGATAGATGACAGAGAAGAGACAAAGTCAAAGATCCAGTGTCTAGATTAAGTGCCTACTCTATGAAAGACATTGGGAAGCAATGTTGCATGGTGGATAAAGAGCTGTCCTGGAAATCAGGAAGACCCAGGTCCAAGCCACATCTCTGACATAGGTAGGCTGTACAAATCAGCTGACCTCTCAGTGACCCAAGTGATCTCTATTAGTCCCATAGTGTCTCCATGATTATAAGTTGCAGAGAACGTATATGTGCCTTTGTATAGGCTATCTGATATTGTGGCTTCCCAACAAGGATGAAATAAATCACAGGTCTTGTCCAAACAATCCAAAAAACCATGCAAAGTATTGTGTTAAGCATAAGGGATACAAAGACAGAATGAAAAATCTCTTAAGGAGTTAACAACATCTAAATACCTAAGTAAATACAAAATAATTTGGGGAGCAAGGAGGCACTGATCCCTGGAGGGATCAGGACAGGCTTTGTATAGAAGGGGTAGGGGACCTGAGATGAATGTTGAGGAAAGGTAAGAATTCTAAGAAGCAAAGGTGAGAGTAGGCCATGTTTTAGGCATGCTGGACAGCCTGTGCAAAGTACCTAGGTGACAAATTGAATTTCATGTGGTGGGAAGAGTACCTAGGCCAATTTGGCTGGAACTGAGAGTACCTGAAGAGGGGCAAAGTGAAATACACATGGAAAGGGAGCCCAGTCAGACAGTGAAGGGCTGAAAAAGATGATCAGAACAGTTGGTATTTTATTTTAGAGGCAATAGGGAGCCACTGACGCTTTCCAGGAAATCTGGGTTCTAGTCTCAGTTCTGCCACTAACTATCTTGTCAAATCACTTAACATCTGTGAAATGAGGCAATTATACTATCACATCTCTAAGGTCCCATCCAGTTCTAAAATTTCATGCTTCTAGCTGATCTAAGATATTATGAGAGTCCACATCTTTGAGAAAAAAATTGGAAAGATTCCAGAAGAGAAAAGTGTATGTATCACTTCATTCTTACAATAGAGGAAGATTTTAATCGTTTGCCCTACATAGCTATGTGGTAGAATGCTCAGTAAATGGGCCAGCACAGTCTGCTAAGAGGGTATGGCTCAGAGAGTGTTTGGGGGCATGCTGATGGCCTAAGTTAAAGGACTAAGATTATCTTGAGGGCATAAACTGGTATTATAGTTGGTGATTATTGTGTTGACAAAAATTGTATTCTCTAAGACAAGAATTCTATGCCATTTAAAATATAAGAAAAATATAAGCTATGGGACTTTTTCAAATATTCCCTTAGAATCCCAGAACTGCAGAATGTAGGAGTAGGAAAGGATGTTAAAAGTGGCTAACCCACTTAATGCAGGTACTTTCCTTGATACATCCCTGTTAGGGATGCTTGAACTTTTCTAGCACTGGTGAACTCTCTCTCATATAAGGTATCCCCAAACAGCCTAGGACTAAATTAAAAGAATGCCTCAGGGCCAGCTAGGTGGTGCAGTGGATAGAGCTCTGGCCTTCCAGTCAGGAGGACCTGACTTCAAATGTGGCTTCAGAAGCTTGACACTTACTAGCTGTGTGACCCAGGGCAAGTCACTTAGCCCTGATTACCTCACCAAAAAACAAAACACAAACAAACAAAAAACAAATGAATGCCTCAGATATTTACTAGCTGGGTCATGTTAGGAAAATCACCAATCCATTCTATGTCTCCGTTTCTTCATGGTGATTGGATTTGATGACCTCTAAGGACCCTTTCAGACTTAAAATAGACCTATGATCTGGTTTTTGTGCAGCTCTAATAATTTGGAAGTTATTTCTTAGGAAGTTTGACTTCGCATTTAAGGTCCCCCACAATCTGAATCCTACCTACCTCTCTAACCTTATTTCATATTATTCTCTTTTACCAATCAACTCTCCTTTCCATGGCCTACAATGCTGTTTCCCTGTACATTGTTAAGAAAAGGCGCTGGAAGGCACTTAACAAATGCTAGTTGACTGACACAACATTCCATTTCTGGCTTCCATGTTTTGTTTTGTTTTATTTTGTTTTTCATCTCCAACTCTGGAATGCACACCCTTCTTACCTGGATCTCCTAGAATCCCTAGCTTCCTGCAAAGCACATAGATTAGGTGCCACCTTCTGTTAGGCCTTTCCTCATCTGTCTCCTATCCTCAGTTAGTTCTCTCTTCCTTTGGAATTAAATCTGAATTATTTTGTATATATTTTATACTCACATATCTGTGTATATATTGTAATCCCTACTCTAATCCGCCCCCTCTCTCCTAGAATGTTAGTCATTCAAAGGCAAAAAATGTTTGGTTCTTGTTTTCCTATCCACAATATCTAGCAGAGTGCCTTGAATTAAATTTGTATGGAACATAGTAGGTGATTAATAAATGTTTGTTGAATTGAACTGAATGATATTAAGTCAACAATGGACTTCCTGTAATTTCTATACATTGGTTCTAGCTAATGCTCTCTGGAGCTACACCAAATAGCTCTCATCACTCTTTCACAGGACAGCCTTTTGATTTTTGGAGGCAACTGTATTTTTTTAAAATCTATTTTCCAGGCTAAACATTGTCAGTTTTATATTAATAGTATTATTGGCAGCTATAGCCAGGAGCATATACCCAGGCTAACCCTAATAAGGTTTGCATGGATGTAAACAAAGAAGCAGAAACATAAACAGCTTGCTCGAGAATGTGTCAGCTTAGAAAGACGAATGATTGAGCTCTGGGAGTTAACAAAGTTGAACTGACTGTAACAATACAATACTTACCCGAATATGATGGTACTCTGATTTGGGAGCTAGCTGTTCCATCACCTCCTTCACTGAATGCTCGAACTTCAATGATATAAACCCCAACATCAGGGAGAAGGACCACTGCTTGAGTTTTCTGTGTTTCAATGACTTGACTGTTGCTGTGGCCTTCTTGCCTATAAAACACCTGTAAATATAAACAGATTTCAATGCCTAGAGGCAGCAAGGTGGTTCAGTGGATAGAGTGTAGGACTTGGAATCAGGAAGATCTGAATTAAAATCTGACTCAAAAATTCACTGACCGTATGATCCTGGACAAGTCACTTAACATCTCTCAGCCTCCGTTTCCTCATATGTAAAATGAGGGGACAGTACTTGATGGCTTCTAAAATCTTTTCCAGCTTTAAATCTAGTATGCATTAAGCTGCTAGGTGCAGTACTAGGTACTGGGGATCCAGAGACAAAAATAAAACAAATGAGGCAAAAGACAGTCCCAGCTCTCAACAAGGTCACAATCTAATGGGGAGAAAGCATGCAAGCAACTATGTAGAAACAAGTTAGATATGTACTAAATTTGGAGTAATCAAGAAGGGAAGATCTGAGTGTTAAGGGGAATCTGGAAAGGCTTCTTGCAGAAGGTGTGATTTTAGCAGGGACTTGAAGGAAACCAGGTGAGCCAGGGGATAGAGAAGAGGAGGGAGAAGATTCCAGGCAAGGGGACGCCAGTGAAAATAACATGGACAGATGGACTCTCTTTTTCTAGGAACAGCAAGGAGTACAGTGTCATTTTATCATGAAGAAAGTTGTGTGTGTGTGTGTGTGTGTGTAGGGGGAGGGGAGTAAGACGTAAGAAGACTGAAAATGTAGAAGGAGGTCAAGTTATGAAGGGTTTTGAATGCTAGGAATTTAAATCATGGCAGGGGAAGTGGGGCAGAGACAGAGGAGATGAAATGTGCACAGATACATAAATACAAAATGTATACAAAGGAATTTGGATGGAAAGGGGGCATGCTAAGAACTAGAGGGATCCGGAAGGACCTGGTTTAGTCAGTCACACTTGAGCTAAGTGTTGAAGAGAGCTAGGGGCTCCAAGAGGCTGAGGTGCAGAGAGAGGGTATTCCAGGCACCGAGTACAGTTTGTGCAAAGAAGGTGTGACAGTTTGTGTGACAGTGCAGGAGGGGGTAAGAGTTTCTGAGAAGTATGGGATAACATGTTAGAATGACTAGCAGAATTTATAAGGCAAAATTTGATTTTATTTTGCCAATTTTTAAGGGCATGCTAATTCTTGAACAAAACCATTTTTCTTCGTAATGTCTCTCCTCTTTCCTTTTTTCCCTTTTCTACTCTCCAATCTCCTCCCCCACCCCAAACTGTGGTTATTAAGACATATTGAAGGAAATAGCAATTCTCATTTTTTCCCCCTGAAGCTCAAGTTAGAGCTAGGTCACTGGAAGACCTTCAGTCTTCTCAATTGGAGCCAACAACATCCTTTATCCCCTTCTTCCTGTCACTGACTTCCTCCCTCCCCCCACTCCTAACACTTGGAAAAGTTTTAGCTGGCTGAAGTGGTCCCTCCAAATAGCTTGCTTTCAGAAGCAGTTTGCAGTTGATTATAGACGACAAATACTGAGAGCAGACAATTAGTCTATTCCCTCTCTCCACACCATTCTTTTCTCACAAAAGCCATGTGACTTAAGTTTTTATCAGAGCAATAGTTAAGAGGTTACCTCAAAAGCCTGAAGGGGAAAAAGTCTTCTGATCAAGGAAGTGTTCCTCCACCACAAACAGCAATTTGTATTATGGAAAGGTTTTCTTTCTGTCCTATCCCACACGGGAGAAGAAATAACTTTTCTTTTTCTTTTCTTTTCTTTTTTTTTTTTGAGAGAAACTGTAATGCATTAGGCCTGCCAGTTGTTAGGGAGAGCACATGTTGTCAGTGGAGGTGGGTTTATCAGGTGAAGGGGCTTGAGAAGGCACTGCGGGCAGAGGGGTGGGGGGAGCAACCACGTAGAGCCTGCCTGAAAAGCAACTGTGGGAGGAAAATAGAGGTACATTTTTGTCCAGCTCAATTTTCTACTATTTACCCAGCACTTGGTTGCTGCTGCCTGAGCCCTGGATCTTAAATCTCCCTAATCCCTTCTCAAATTTTGTAATTTCTCATTCTAATTCTAGTTTGACTTCAGACATCCTCTCCTACCTGTGGCCTTCTCAACTGGCATGAAAACTGGGAGGGACTTTAGGAGCTGGGAGTCCAACTATTTCATTTGGTAGACGAGGAAACTGAGGCCCTGGGAGGTTGCACAAGCAGTTAGCATTAAAGGCAGAGAATCTGAACCAGGCCTCTGACCCAAAGCCAGTACTTTCACCCCTTTACCAATCTGCCTCTCTCCTTGTCTTCTTGGTTCTTTAAAACAAAGTCACCAAAAAAAAATTTAAACTTAACATTAAGCATCAAAACAATATGCTTTGTAACTATTTCCATTTAGATAATAGATAAAGTGGCTTCAAAGGGGAAGATAGGTGGTTCAGTAGACATAGTACTGGGGCTGGAGGCAGGAAGACTCATCTTCGTGAGTTCAAATCTGGCCTCAGACATTTATTAGCTATGTGACCTTGGGCGAGTCACTTGACCCTGTTTGCCTCAGCTTCCTTATCTGTAAAATGTTCTGGAGAAGGAAATGGCAAACCACTCCAGTATCTTTGCCAAGAAAACCCCAAATTGGGTAATGAAGATATGATGCCACTGAAAACAGCTGAACAAATTAGCTTCAATACCTATAATGGCATAACTTTTCTCTAAGCCTGTATTAGGATTCTTTCTTGTCAAGTGATTCTCATTAATTTCCCCATGTATGTGATCTTGGTGGGAATTATGTTGGGTTTTTTTTAAGTTCTCATTACATCGTAAAGATTTTCTGGATTTCTTTATATTCTGTATACTTATTGGTCTTACTTCAATTATAGTATTCTATTACATGGATATTCCACAATTTATTTAACCAATCTTCTATTTTTTGACATTTATTTAGGTTGCCTTTAGCCTTTTCCTTTTTCAAATAATGCTGTTCTAAAAATCTGCAAGTCAGCTTTTTTCTTAATATTGGTTCTAAACGGCTAGGAAATATTTCCCATTTGCAATCCTCTGAGCCCTTATGTAAGGAGGATTTCATCAGCTCCTTGGAACTTGTTCAGTATTTGCTCTTGATGGAACTCAGCCTCTGCCCTGGCCAGGGATGGGGTTGGGGAAAAATGTCCAAGGCCTTATACATATGTGCCTTGCACATAGCAGACACTTGATAGAGATTCAATGCATTGTTTTATTTCCCCAATGCTCCCCAACAGGAGGTGAAGACTCTTACATCAAAGCCACTCTTAGGATATGCTGAAGGCAGAAAGTACAGAACTTCTCAAAACAGAAGAAAAAGTTGTCTTGGTGTGACATTTTGGTTTCATGAATTGTTAGTGGTAAATTGAGTTTGGGGGGAGGAGGAAAAGGATTAGCATTTATTAAGCACTGACTATATGCCAGGCAATTTACAAATATCCCTGTTAATCCTCACAACAACCCATTTTACAGAAGAAATTTAGGCAGATAGTCAAGTGACTTGTTCAGGGTCACACAGTTAGTAGGTGTTTGAGACTATGTTTCAACACAGATGTTCCTGACTCTATTCAGCCATCTAGTTTCAAGGGAAGGTAGTATGGAGCAACAAAGTAGCTTATGATAATGAAGAAAATTAATCAAATGCAAAAGAAAAAAATACAAAATAGATACAAAACAATCCATGAAGGGAGGGCAGTAACAACTTGGGGAATTGGAATGGGCTTCCTGTTGGGGCTGGCATTTGACCTGAGCTTAGAATAAAGTTAGAGATTCTGTAAGGAGAGAGTGAATTCCAGGCATCGGGGCAGTCTGTGCAAAGAAACAGAGGAGAATGCATACTCTAACAGTGCAGATCACAACTCATCATCTTGTGTTATTCTTGTCTGTGTCCTCTCTAATTCCCCCTGTAGTGTCCATCCAACATGTCTCTTGCCGTTACATGGGTGTTAAAGAACCGTCTATTCATTTTCCATCTGCTATCCCTCATTCTTGCTACATGACCAACTCCTTTCCAGGCATACGCCTCTTCGGTGTATTTTTGTCTATATTTTTTTTCCGTGGAATTTATTATTGGTAAAATGCTGCTGCTCATTTTTGTCTACCATGTGCTACTAATTGCCTTGTGGATGAGTCACAATTTTGATTCCTCAGCAATTGTGGTATTCCACGATTCATGGCCATATAGTATTACAGGAAGAATTCTCAAATACTCAGAATGGATCTGTGATTTCACTGATGTGGGCTTTTCCTTCCAATAATGCAATTCACAATCCATCCATGTGTGTCCATCTTATGTGACTCTGGTCTACCACTTCCCACATCCATGTGCTTCCATCTTGTGTGATTCTGGTCTACCACTTCTCATATGTTGGGGGAGCCTTCCCCACTTCCTCTCGATACTGTGAGAAAACCAGTGGAGGAGACATATTTTCCATTGGTCATTCCTAGCTTTCTCCATGTGACCAGCCCAATTTCTTTTTTCTTTTATGATATCCTTTCCTTTGCTTCCCTTTTGTGATATCTTGTTTGTAATGCATTGCTGCATTGTACCTCTCCACTGCCCTCTGGGTAATCTTCATTTTTAATTCTAAATTATTTTTAATACTTCAGAGATTGTAGCGTTCTAACTTGCAGCCTGAAAAATGACATTGGAATAATTCTGTCATTAAAAAGTTGAGCCTTTTGTCAGGGAGATATGTGGGTTCATTGAAGGAACTTTGAAGTTCAGGAAAGGCAAGCCAGCTAGCTCTCCTGCTTAATTCTGGGCCCAACTCATTGTCCATTTTCCATGTATGCATATATGTATGTATATATACAGGTATGTGTGTATACCATATATTTTAAATTGATATTAATTATGGCTGTCGTATCTCTTAAATGTTTGCCAAGTCAATTTTTAGGCTCTTTTGATCTTGTGTTTATGGCAATTGATGTACATTGGTTAACCATTTGTACGATATTATTGTAATTGATGTTAATGTCCTTTTCTCCATCTAGATATCATTTTTTGGTAACATCAACAACTTATTTAAAGTTTTCTAATCATATGCCATAAATTATTTTCATTTTTATTCATTCTTCT